TGAAGAATTTAGAATTCTGCAGGATTTGAAGATCAGTTTATATCAATGTTATTCAACTTTGACAACTTTAAGATATGCGGACTTAAACCCCCATAATTTCCCAGCCGGCATGCCGGCTGGGGAGTTCTGAGAATTAAAGTCCATATATTATAAAATTGCTAAAGTTGAAAAGCTTTGGCTTGCTTTGTTTTTAGTAGTAAAAATAAGTGTAATTAAATATGTACTTCAGATATCAGGAAATTGGCTTGAATAAATCAGGGGGGAAAGGCTAGATATAGGGTTCAGTAGCTGGATATATTCAAAGGTGAAGAAGCCTTAAAATAAATTAGACTTCCTGAAGGGCAACTTATCCAGGCACTGTCATTGATAAGCAACTGCAGTAGGAAGAAACATTACACAAAAATGCTTTGTGGGCACTAGAATTGTTAAAAGAACATGTTTAAGAAATGGGAAGGCAAGTATGGACAATTGGTTTACGCCTGCAGAGACAGAAGGAAAGAAAGTTAAAAACAAGGCAGGACTGGGGAACATGAAGCATAAACCCCCCAAAATATCTGAGTACTAGCTCTATATGTGCTTTGCTACAAAACTACAGTATGTGATCGGGCTTAGTTTTGGGGGAGGAAAATAAGGGGAAAAAATTTCTGCCTCTGCCTACCAGCATCCATCAGTATTCAACTGGCTTAGCGCCCTGTCAATGTGTTAGAGAGTTGAGGGCTATTTGGAAACTGAAGCAGTATTAGCATTTGAGTGTGAGCGAGGAGACAGCAAGGAGCCTGGGCGTGGCTTAGCTGAACTGTTCTGTACTAAAGCTAGTTGCTGCTGTGAAAGTAAAACTGAAACTCCTCTGCTTGTGTTTTGCATTTGGAACAGATTTCTTTTCAGGTGGGGAGGGGGAGCAGAACTCCTTAGCATCAGAGCATGTTAATAATAATATATGAAATACTAATGCTCTGATGGTTTCGAAAAATCCTTTCTTAGTGAGCACGTAGAAGCCAAGAAGAACATACGTGCCAAATTTCAAGTTTGTAGGCTTTACTGTTCTGGAGATTTTGTGATGATGCATGAGTGGTATTTCGCTTTTATATATATAGAAGATTTGAAGAAAGGAATTGAATTGATAGGTCATCCACTCAGTGAGGATGGTGTAAATGTTAAAAAATAAAATTGAATAAGTAAACACAGACAAAAGGAAAAGTATATTGATTAATAAGTGTCCATGGCTGGTTTGAGATCAGGGCTATGGTACAAAAATGATAAGGAGTTTATTGTCTGATGCAGAAGTCTTAAATAAGGAATTTAAGACTTCTGCATCAGACATTATTCCTGAGATGTTCTGAGGAATGGGTAAGATGCCACAGAAATGGGAAGAAAGGACAGAAGAGCAGTAAAATATCTAACAGAAAAGGAAAGATAAAGCTATAAATCAATTAAAGTGATTCCAGTACAGTATGGAAACTTACCAAAACAGATTATAATAATGACATTTCGTGGAATAATTAATAGAAACCAGTGCACCTCTGGCTAGAATAATTCTTGCCAAATGTGTTTTCAATCGGGTTATTATATAATGCATTATGATAATATAGTGGATGTAATGTATTTTGATTTCAGCAAAACATTGGCTAGGTTCCTAGTGGTAATTTAGCTCATAAACTGGTTAAAGGAGTGATAGATGATCAAGGCTAACAAGCCAATAATAAAACAGCCAGTTTGATGTAGAGGTTAGAAACAGGGAGAGTAACCCCGCCTTAGAGATGAAGCCATCTGGCTGACTTTGGGCTAGTCACTTTCTCTCTCAGCCCTAAAAAGCAGGCAGTGGCAAGCCACTTGTGAAAAACCTTGCCAAGAAAACTGCAGGGACTAGTCCAGGCAGTTGCCAGGAGTCAACGCTTAAGTTGTAGAGAGAGACGGAGACAGAAAGAGCGGTGCGGGGGGAGAGAGACTGTCCTTACAGGATGTATTCATATAACATGTTTAACCTGAATTAATTAAACTGTACAATGGCTGCACAAGGGATCAAATTCATCTTCAGTAGAGATCTTCAGCAGATGGCCCACATGCATCTCTTATGGATGCTCCCATTCTGGATGACCTGTATTATGAAGTGTTTGAGTTGAGTGACCTACAAAGCGCTTTCAAACTGTTTCATTCCTAGATAACCTATTCGTAGGCCCAAATTCAAGCTATGACACAAAGGACCTTTGTGTCTCTGTCTTGTTTCCTGATCTAAAACACAAGAAAAATCTCTTTAAACTCTCCTCCCCGACCGAGATGGTTGCTGAACAGTAAGGGGATATTTCTCTCTTGCTGACAATCTGCCCATTTTGCTGCCAAAGCTGGCTCTCTGATAGTGCTGCTCCCTGGATTTGAACGGGAGCACTTAGGAATGACCCAAGATGGCTTTTGGACAGCCGTGGACCCATTTGGGAAGGGGAGTCTTGAAGATTCAAGTTCCTTTGGGAGCAGTCAGAAAGTCATGGGCATCTGTCTTCCTGTTGCCATTTCAGGTTTTTATAAGCATGCCTGGGCTTTTTGAATTTTTACTTTGCTTTTTATCTTTAAAAGTAGACCAGCTGATTGAATGCTGATTTATTTCAAACCCCTGCTGGACTTTAGCTGTTCTCTTTTTTTTTTTTTCCTTTGATCTATATCTTTCGTTTTCTGTATAGAAACAGGGCATGCTTGTGGATGGTGAAGTGCTTTCATTTGATTTACATTAACATTGGACTCTCGCCGCAAGGTTTTTGCATCTTTTTAATTTGCAAAATACTTGGGAGTTTATTTCTTTTTAATTTTAATTTTAATCTCGGATTGAAAGATCCAGAAAATACTTTTCCTATTTCCTTCTGCTTCAGGCTCCTTGTTCTCTGGTTGAGCTTCATAGAGCATAGTGTTCATAGTGTTTCAGAGTACAAGTACAAGCAGTGGCTGAAATCTGAGAAAAATCTTTTGGCAACATGCAGCTTTTAGTTGAAAACTTTTTTAAAAAATAGTTGATGACATGATAATGGTCATGGAAAATATCCCGAGGCATGTAGCTTTGGAGGAATTTGATTTGAAAACTGTAGATCAAAGAGATATCAACTGTACAGACGGGGAACTAAGTTGATTCCATACATCTCTCTGAACTTCAAGTTTGCATTTGTTTACAATAACAGAAGCCTGACATGGAAAAGTGACAAATTGGTTTTTCTTGGGATGGGGGAAGATTGGGGAATGGATTTATTACTCTTAATTGCAAGCCACTTTTATCTGGACTTTGTTGTAGAGACTGAATGTATTATATTTAATTAGATAACAACTGATAAAAGTATCAAAAAACAAATGTGGATATTTGATCAAGGATGAATTACTTTTCACTTTTGGAAAGATTTGGGATATGCCATGGTAAATTTTCTATGAGTTTATTACAGTAACATTTTGTTAACTGAGTTTTGAAAGTCTAATCTTGTCCTTTTCATTCTTATTGTTCTCCCTGTTACCTATTTTTGTCTTTAATGTAGTATATAGATGACAGGTCAATATTTTGCATATAGATTTATTTGTTGTTTTTTTAATTTGGGGGGGGGGCTGTTTTGCAAGGGGTGGGAACTAAAATTGTAGCAATGTATTAATGAATATAATTCCCCAGGGGGAATTATATGTGTATATATGTTGGGGTTTTCTTTCTCTCTCTTTTTTTAATGTCTTGTATGCGTTATATCTTTTCTTTGCTTTTTTAAATTTTTAAATTTAAATTTCTTGGAGTTTTGTATTTTAACTTTTTTTTCAATAAAATAAAAATATGCTAAGAAGAAAAATCTCTTTAAACTCCTCCTCTTTCAACAGTACAGACTCTATCCACCTCTAACCACGGTGCACACAAATAATCCTTTCACCTTAACTGCTTCCTTCTAACCATAAACCAAGCTTATCCAGGTTAATTAAAGTTAGCATCTGGAATACAAATAATTATTTGGCAATCTACAATTGTCACAGGGCCAGGGAAAATTTGAAGGATCAAGCAAGGTATATCTTGACAATTAAGAGCTGATGTCAAAATCTTTTGTCATGTAGAATTGGCCCAATTTTTTTGCACTGCAGCTGTGGCGGTGTTTCCCAACCTGGACCACTTTGCAATGTGTAGACTTCAACTAGAATTCCTAGCCAGCATGGCCATTGCTAAGAATTGTGGGAGCTGAAGTCCACACATCTCAAAGTTGTCCAGTTTGGGAAATACTGAGTCACAGAATAGCAGCACTGTACAGGGAGAACTGTTGGGCCTACAGCAACTAACAGTTGGCATATTGCTCTTCAATGGCTTCTTAGAAGGACGCATCCAGTTCATAGATCTTGGACCAATGGGAACTCAAGTGCTACTTGGGAAAAGGGGGAGGGGTCAACAGTCACTTTCTGTATCACATCTAAGCAGAGGAGTCAGTAGCTTTCCATATCATTCTTCAATAAATAATTTCATATTGCCTATATTTAGCTTCGGTTGAAGGCTATCAAACACCTTGCAAGAAGCAAGATAATATTGGCAAGTGCCTCAGACAAACACACTTCCTCTGATTTACTGGCATATAAGAAACAAGGGAAGGGAAGCACAATCAGGGTTGCAAAATTATTTTATTATTGGCTTTTTCAATAAAGTACCATTTTTGTCTTCCTGTGGAGTTAATTTTCTGGTTTGGTTTACCAAGTGGGCTAACATACAAGCAGATAACACAGCCATGTGGAATGAGCATGTCAAGAAGAACTACATCAGGGTGCAAGGATCAGAAGTGGATTTCCCTTGTTGGGTTCTTCTATTTTGTTACTATAGAGAGTCCATCCTTTCAAAACATTTTGAGCTTCCTTTAACAGAAATGTTGAGCAGAATCAGAGGGCGATGAAGGAGCCAGATAAAAGGGTTTTTAAAAAAGCTTTAACAGGGCTGGATAAATTCATAAATATGGAGAATAAGATGAGCTAAAGGTGAGTCTGACATACAAATATACTACTCTGTTGCTTTTCAGTATGTGACCCATCAGTTGCAGCACCCATTTTTCAGCACTGAATCATGGAGACTGAAACTGTGCCTTCACAGGAAGCTTCCCTGACTGTTAATGAACAGGTATGTGTCTCCCTGACCTTCCAGGGATGTGGAAAAGGAAAAAAAAACTACAGCAAGGCAGGGTACGAAGCAAAGGCATTGATTTGGTTCGTTGTGGCCCTGGTGAGAGATCTCCACGTATTATATGGAGAGATTGTGTGTAGATGTGCAAAAGGAAGTGAGCATTTAGCCATGTGTTGGATTTGTGGCTGCTAAAAGATTTTACATAAGCGCCTTATATAAAAAAATGGAAAGTCATCTCCCTCCCTCCCCTTTCTTTCTTTCTTTCTTTCTTTCTTTCTTTCTTTCTTTCTTTCTTTCTTTCTTTCTTTCTTTCTTTCTTTCTTTCTTTCTTTCTTTCTTTCTTTCTTCTTTCTTTCCTAAAATTTATATAGCCACCATCTCATGGTGTGTGACTGTGGGCAGTGTACAACAGTCCAATAATGCAGTAGATACCCAAAACAATCATTATCTAAAACTGTTATATAAAAATTATTTTTAAAAAATATTTAAAACTAGGAAGGGAAAAGTAATACAGAAAAAGAAAATAATAGACGATAGGGATGTTGATAACACCTCATTTATCTACCGTACCTTATATCCAGTCTGACAGCTCATCACTATCAACCAAGATCTGCAGCCTGGTTTTCAGGCAGAAAGTTTTCCAAACCTCCTTGGTTTGCATAGTCAGGGTCATCATCGCTGCCCCCCCCTTCCCTATTTAAGAATTCATAACTATGAATATAATTATACCTATTATCTTGTAAGCGATTGACAAATAAATAAATAAATAAATAAATAAAATCCAATGCATATCTCCCTAGTTGCTTCACTTTGCCTGTTGTATTGATGATTTGGAGCGCTGATGTCCCTGATGCTTTGCTATCTTTTCTCAGGTCATTGTGATGTCGGGACATGAGACAATTAGGGTACTGGAAGTGGGAGTAGATGCTCCAGTCTCAATAAAAAATGAAGGGAAAACGCTGAAAGCAACAGATGCAGCAGCTGGAGGAGAGGATTCTGCAAACTGCCCTCCAGAATCAAGTAAAACAGGACAGGAAAGGGTACAACAAAACCCAGAGAAGGCATGCAGAGAGTCCAGTGGTAAGTGGCACTTCATATGTTTCCATTTATTTGGTCTTCTTCGTCCTCACCCTGTTATCCAATCAGAAAATCAGAAAAGTAAAAATAGAAGTCACATGGGACAATTTCATAAGAAATATAGAACCAGACTGTGTGAGGCTCTCACAAAGCTTAGCAAGTATCATTTATGGGGATGTGTATTCAGGAAAAAAACAACCTCCTTTTCTTTGATTGCTAAATGGTATGTTGGAATAAGAGAATCTGTAGACCTCAAAAACACATAAGGTGAACCATGGAGGTCTCCTTAGGTCCTGCTTCCACCTACTGAAATTCCTGGTTTTATTCTTTTCCAATAGCTGAGGGATGCTTCCATACAGAGGGCTCTGGGACTAGCTATCAGCAAACATTCTGTGCAGCTCTTCCTTTGCAATAAGACAAATGGAAGAAGTAATGAGAAAATGCAGAAGGGCTATAAGTGTGAGACATCAGGATATCTTCTTCCCCAACCTTAAATTATATGACTGAGGCAGGGAGTTTACAGAATAAAAACTTCCCCTGGAACAATCCAGAGATTCATCATAAGAGGCAGGAAAAAACACACAGATAAGATGAATAGAGAATGGTGTACCTAAAGCCTGTGGTCAGGTGTTCCATTTCTGGGTTTTTGCACATATTAAGTATGCAGAAAACAGTAATGGATGGAGCCGGATAGCTGCAGTATTGACGGTCCAAATTTCAAACCTCAAATAACAATTTATAGGCAGTGGACCAAGCAACAACAGAGCAGAGAGGTTGAGGAAATGACAGGTGGGCAAATGAAGAAGACAGCTGGTTGGCAGTGAGGCAGGACCAGTTGAGTGACATTTTTGGCATCAAGAAGTCACTCGGATTAGAAAATGGTACTGGCGGATGGTGTGTTTATCTCATGACTGCAAATATTACATTCAAAGTGTTCAGTTACTGGCCTGAATTCTGGTTTCTACTTCTGAAGTCAGATGGAAACAAGGTGGAGGGTGAGATGTCAAGTTCCTGGACACTGGGTTTGCATATAGTGTCAGGATATGTGGCTCTGTCAAGTGTTATGTTCCTTAATCTGATGCTGGCTTTAAGAAGAGTCTCCTTTGCAAATTCTATGATCCATTTTTGTATGTAAATATTGCACGTTCTTAAAAACCATTTAACACTCTCTGAAGGAGAAACCTCATCAGATTTATTTTAAGCAACCCATCTAGTCCAGAACTTATCCAGTTTGTAATGGAAAAAAACAGTCATGAACACTAACAACTGAAAAAATTGATCACTAAAATTAGGAGCTTCTTTCCTTTTTAACAGGTAAAATTTTTTTCCAGAGGAAAATCAAGATAGGAAATAGAGAGTAAGGAAGGGGCTGGTTGATGTAATTTTATTTGTTGAGTTCTTGACACTCTTGGAACCTGGTAGCTTGCTTGCAGACATTTCATTACCCAATTAGGTAACATCATCAGTGCCTCCATTATGCTTGCTTTCTGAAATGTTTGATGCCTATATGTGGTTCCAATTGAAGAGAATATATGTAGGTCAGAGTTGAACTATTAACGTTTTTTTTTTTGGTGCTCTCTGAACTTGGTTGTTTGCTTGCAAATAATCGGTAAATCATGAAAGAGCCGTGGTGGTGCAGTGGTTCTGCCTGCAATTTGGCAGTTCAAATCTCACCAGGCTCAAGATTGACTCAGCCATCCATCCTTCCGAGGTCAGTAAAATGAGGATTCAGATTATTGGGGGCAAAACCACTTAGAGAGGGCTGTAAAGCACTGTGAAGTGGTATATAAGTCTACTTGCTCTTGCTATACATTTTTTATTGCTTACAGAAAACAAGATATTCTCTTCTATTGGTCACATAGTCCTTTTCCTGTGTGTCACTTTCTTTGTTTAAGTAGTTCTGTACTAAGAATTTCCCTCTTGAAGGATCGTTTCATACCATGCTTACTAGTTATATATGTTCTTGCTCATGTATACCCATCATGCTGTCCTCTTTTGGAGTATGCAATACTATAAAAAGCACACACGCACAAAAAAAGGGGAGGGGGAAGAAGAAGAGTGGTGTGGGGGCCTAGAGATGAAGATACTTGCCTCACACTCAGGAGATTGAAAGTTCAATCCTAGGCAGCAACAGATGTTTCTCTATCAGGGCACAAAGAGAACATATCTGCTGCGAACTTCGCAAAGGTATCAGGCATCCAGCCAGTAAGCACTCAGGCCCATTCAGTCACCCCAATAAAAGGGATTACAGGGTCTTAAAAAGAAAAGAAAAAGAAATTAAAGGTATGAGATTAGAAAATAAAATCCAAATAAATCTAGTCCACAGCTATACCATTATAATTTCCAAACCTTTCCATGAAACAGTGTTGAACTGTTTATTAAACTTTCTCTCTATCCTTAAGATTTTATTTCTATTATTTTACTCATTAACCCCCTGTTAACTTCATGTTTATATAAAACATATTTCAAGCCTACCCACTTAGCTATATGTGTTCTCTAAATCAACAAATGCCATAATAGCAACCAAAGGCCACCTTTGCCTAAATCATGCTCATGCTTTCCTACATATGCATTCTATGGCTCTCTAATCCAAATACTACTTACCAGCAGACAATACAGTGACAGTAACAGAATTGGAAGGAATCTTGTAATCTAACCCCCTGGTCTCTCTACTCTACTCTACTCTACTCTACTCTACTCTACTCTACTCTACT